ATCTATCTATCTATCTATCTATCTATCTATCTATCTATCTATCTATCATCTATCTGTCTGTCTGTCTATCTATCTATCTATCTATCTATCTATCTATCTATCTATCTATCTATCATCTCTCTCTCTCCTCTGTCTCTATCTATGTCTATCCCTCTCTCTCTCCCACTATCCATCTGTTCTGTGTCTCTTTGGCAGGAGACACCCGATTCTCCTCCAATGTCTCTGCTTGGGGGCACCAACACCTCCGTCCAAATGACCCCACCCTAAGTTAGACTGTTGCCAGCAACCACAACCACCCCACTCCTGCCCCACCAATGTTACCAAGACAGGAAACCCCATCAGGAAATCGTAGAGGAAAACGATGCCGGTGATCAGGTAGGTGATCTGGAGAGAAGTCTTGATGGGTTCGGATCCGTCGATGGAGGAGCGGCGCTTGCCCTGGGCGTCCTCCACCACGATGGTGGGCACGTTGAACTTGTTCTTGTCCAGGTTGTTGCCCGCTTGGATGGAGAAGGTCTGGAAGAGGGCGATGGCCACGCAGACCACTCCCATGGCCACGCTGCCGCTGATGAGGAGCAGGAAGCAGACGCCAAAGCCGAGACCGATTTCCGTGACGATGAAACGGCAGTCGCTGGCGTAGAACCTCTCGGTGGTGTCGTGCCAGCCCACGGCGGGCAGCGTGGAGAGGATGAAGGAGACCATCCAGATGCCCATCACCGTGTGGACCGCTTGCTTCTTGGTATTGCTCAATCTGCAGGAAGGGAAAAGAGGCGCCCCCCCCCGCCCCCCGCCCCCCCCGGTTAGGTCAGGGGTCTCCACACTTGGCCACTTTTGCTAGAATTGCTCGATGATATAACGCATTCCTTTTGATGTGCATCCCCGCTGTATGCCTGCTTACTCTCTTGTGGTCCCGTCCTCTGCAATCGCTCCAGCCTAGGCTGCCTAAGGAATTCAGGGAGTCCGATGGATGGATGAACAGATTAATGGACGAATAGATGAATGGACGGATAGATGGATGGACAAATGGAAAGATGAATGGAGAAATGGATGGATGGATGGACGGATGAATAGATAGATGATGGATCAAATAAATGAATGGATGGACAGATGAAAAGATGGAGGAACAGATGGGTAGACAGATATATAGATGGATGAGTGAATGGACAGATGATGGATGGACAGACGGATGAAGATTTGAAGAGTTGGATGGACGAAGAGATGGATAGGCAGATGAATGGATGGATAGGTGGATGGAGAGATGAATGCATAGATCATGGATGATGGGTTGAAGGAGAGATTGATCTGGGAAAGATTCATCTACCTAACTCCTTGGATCCATTTCCTTCAGGAGCTGAAGGTGGCCTCCTCAGCATTTCTCCTCCTCTTTCTCCCCCCCTCCCACCCCCGAGCTCCCACCTGTAGTTAACCGGCCAACGGACCATCCACATCCGGTGATAGGAGAGCGAGGTGACGGAGAAGCAGGTGGCCAACGTCAAGGTGTAGAAGGTGGAGACGAAGACTTTGCAGAGGCCCTCGTTCCACTCGTAGTCCGAGTGCTGCTGGCGCAGCTGGATGACCGAGTACATGGTGATGGGCACGGAGATGTTGAGGATGTGGGTCCCCGCCAGGGTGCAGATGAGGAACTCCAGCGGCTTCCATTTCTTCTGCTTGGCGCTGATGCTCAGGATGCCCCAAGCGTTGGCCAGCACCGCCAAGCCTGAGCAGACCAGCCAGGCCACCGCGTTGTTCTGCAGGCTCCGTTCGTGGTTCATGGTGGAGGGCAGGGCGCCCGCCAGCCGGGGAAGAGGCCAGGTGAGGATGGCGAACCAGGAAGGGGGCGGGCAGGGGAGGCATCCTATCAGAGAGGCAGCGCCATCAGGGGTGGGTCAGAGGAGGCGGCGCCCCCCACCTGCGCACCGACAAGCCGGGGTTGATGGACATCGTGTGGTGGCCCATGTTCCTGGAAGGGAAGAACCGTCCAATTCAATTCAATTCAATCATTTAATAAATTTAACAATTTAACTTAGCTAATTTAATTAATTTAAATTTTATTCTATTGCATTGTATTTTGTTTTATTATTGTATTTTTCATTATTTTATTTTAATTTAGTTTTTAAAGTTTTATTGTTTTGTTTTATTTTTTAAATTTATGTCTTGAAAAACATGGACAATCCAAGAAGCTCTGAGTTTTCCTGGTCTCTTTTCTTGGTTTCTTCCTGGCAGGTTTTGTCCTCCAAGCTGCAAATCCATCTTTTCGCTCTCACCCCTTCCAAACACCCATGTCATTTTATTTTAATTTAATTTATTCAATTCTTGTTTATTATATTAACATTCTCGTGGTTTCTGCATTTCTGCCTTGCCTCTTGGCTTGGGAAAAATTAAGTACTTATTATTTATGTATTGTTTATTATTAAATTTATTAAAAGAAGTGCACAATCCAAAAAGCTGCCGCAGTTTTCCTCTCCCGTCACCATCGCTTCTTCCTTGGGTGCTGTGAACCTTCAAGACACAAATCAATCTTTTTGCTCCCCCTCTCCAAACACGGGCGTAATTTTTATATATTTACATATAAATTACATATAATATAGTAATACAATATAGTGTAGTATAGTAGTATAATGCAAAATAATATAGTATAATACAATACAATATAATAATATAGTAGTGTAGTATTGTCAGTGTACTGCAATATAATATAATGTAATGTAGTAGAGTAGTATAATGTTTATATACACACACACACATACATACACACAATATGATATATAGATAGATATACTTCATATAGATATAGACAGATATAGATGGATAGATAGAGATAGAGATAGATGGATAATATAGATGGATAGATAGATACAGATATATCTTACAGATAGATAGATACAGATATATCTTATTCACTAAATACCATTTCTGATCGTTTCTGCATTTTTGCCTTGCCTTCTCAACCTGGGAGATAAAAAGGGAAATCGCTTCCAACCTCGGAAGAAATATTTCTTGCCCTCCTCCAATTTAATGTTTCATCTGCCACGTTTCCGGCAGCTGTAACTGAGGCTAACTAAAAATGTCGTTATTTCCTTTCCTCTCCTTTTTTTTTCCTTAAAAAAAATAAAAGCGGTGCATTTCCCAAAAATGGAGGGGAAAATAAAATAAAATAAAATAAAAGCAAGCCACCGCCCGAAGGCTTTTATTCTTCCTGGCTTGGCTGGGCTTTTGGGCTGCAGCGGCTCCAAGCAAAACAACAAAGCAAATTCTCCAAGGAATTTGTGGAGAGAAACGGCCAGAAATAGAAGCTGCTCTCCTCAGATATCACGTTTATTCTCTCTGCTTCTCGGTTTTTTTTTTTTTAAAAAAAACATTCCTCCCCACAATTTTGCATGCGGATAGTCCTCGATTTACGACCACAATGGGAGCCAGAAGTAAGCCGTTAAACGAGTCGCTGCCGATTTCACAAATTTGTCTGCGGTGGTTGTAATGTGAACCGCCCTGGTCGTTAAGCGAATCATGCAGTCGTTGAGCAAACCCCAGCTTACCCCCCTTTGCTTGTCGGAGCCCCCCCTTGGTGGGGGTCACATGACCCCCGGGATAAATTCATGCCGGTAGCCAAAGTGTCCTCATCTGGATTACATGACTGCCGGGGACGCTACGTCATAAGTGCGAGGACCTGTTACAGGCCACTTTCCCCGCCCAGTGACAGAGGGTTTAAAGACAGCCTTAGAGAATACAAGCGGTCCTCAAATTGCAGCCATTCATTTAATGAGGCTCCAAAGTTACAACAGCACTGGGAAAAAAGGGGGGTTTGGGACCGTGTTTTTTCATACTTACGACCGTGATAGAAATCCAAACGCTTGGCCGCCGGTTCCTATTTAAGTGAGATCCCTGTTAAGTTAGGAACACGGTCATTAAGCGAGTCTGGCTCCCCCATGGACCAAAGGGGATTGTGTGACTCCGGGACAATGCGACCCATCATAACTCCGAGTCAGTGGCTGAGTGTCTGAATTTTGATCATGTGCAACAGTCGTAAGTGTGAAATGCTCCTCAATTCCTTTTTTTTTTGAATAGTCACTAAATGAACTCCTTGTAAGTCGGGGACCACCTGTATTTTTTTAAAAAATCTGATTTTTTTGAAATGAAACCACAACGGGGCAATGTTGTGCCACGGGTTGTTTGCTGAATTTTAGGTGCCTTTTCGACAAAAAGTTCATGGCGCGACAACGGAGAAAAATGATTATTTTTGAAAAATTATTATTTTCCAAAGCAAAGACAAGACCACCACCCCCCCAAAAAAAATTCCTTCTAGAAAAGGAAGATCATCCCCCCACCTCCCAATTTACTCCCATCAATGTTCACCCTTTAAAGGAAAAAAACAACAACCTGCCTTCCATTTTTAAACAAATGTCCGGATTGGCCTTAACTGTGGTCTCTCTCTCTCTCTTTTTTTTAAACGAAACATTAAATCAGACCAAGGCAGAATATTAGCACATCCTGGCGGGTTGGTTTTAATCCCAGTTTCCTGAACAAGCCATAATGACTTTGTTCTGTAAAAATGACTTTTTACTACAAGCCGCAATAAATGAAAAGCCGTGCAACCTTTCCGGGGATTTATTTCCAAATAGATAAAAGCAGCGGTAGATTTAACTTCCATTCGGATTAAATTTTAATTTGCGTTCCATATAATTAATAGCATTACGCCCTGTGCCGCATTTACCGATTTGGGGTCTGTGCCAGAATGTAATCTCTGGTTTAGGAATAATAGCCTGCGAGGAAGCAGCCAGCCCCCCCGTTCAAATCCTCCCCCTAAAATCAATCTATCTATCTATCTATCTATCTATCTATCTATCTAATCTATCTAATCTATCTAATCTATCTATCTATCTATCTATCTATCTATCTATCTATCTATCTATCTATCTTCCATCATCATTATCTATCTCTATCTGTTATCTCTCTCGCCTACCTACCTATCATCCATCCATCATCTTTATCAATTCTATCTAACTCCTATCTTTCTTTCTCTCCTCTTTCTTTCTCTCCATCTTGTTTCTCTCTCTCACACACACACATCTGTTCTATCTGTATCTATAATCTTTTTCTCCTCTTTCCATCTCTATCACCATCTCTCTCTCTCTCATCTCTCTCTCTCTCTCTCTCTGATCTTTCTCTCATCTGTCTCTGTCCTTCCATCCATCCATCCATCCTCTCTCCATCTCTACCTCTTTCTCTCTCATTCCATCTCTTCCTCTCTCCATCTCCCTATCTCTCCATTTCTTCATCTCTCTCTCTTTCTCTCATTCCACCTCTCTTTCTCTCTCCTTCTCTCTCTCGGGGGGGGGGGGGGGGCGCCCCGCAGAGCATCCGTGCAAAAAGCCGGCAGCTTCAGCAGCGTCGGGAGAAAAGTGCCAAAAAAATACGACAGAAGTTGGTTTAAGATTTAATTGGGAGCGACAACTAAGCCAGCTCCGTTTTTTCGGTTGGCACAGCCATTTTAAGGCACGGCTGAAGATCTTCCCCGCAGTTTATTAGCCCAGTGGGTTGAAAACAGCTGGAATGAAATTGCTCAGATGTGGGTGGATTCGGCAGGAGGAAGAGCCCTGCTCCAGCCGGGAAAATAAATAACTTTTTTTTTAAAAAAGGGACTGTATTTTTTTACTTTAAGTACAGCAATATAGATAATCCTCGACTTACGACCAAAACCAAGGGCAGAATTGCCATTGCCAAGCAAGGCGGTGGCTCAGGGAGTCAGGCCCGATTTGATGACTTTTCTCTCTTTTTGAAGTCATTTTTATCTGGGCCGTCAACGGTCGCTAAACGAGAGGTTGCCTGTTGCGTGCACTCAAAGGCACATTTTTTAAAAGCGTGGATAGAAAGTCGTAAGTCCCCTTTTCCAGTGCCGTTGTAACGTTTGAACGGTTGCTAAACGAATGTTTGTAAGTGGAGGACTACCTGTTATTTTAAAAAATGGAACGCTTGAGGACTAGTTTCCTTTTTAACAAAAGAAACGCTTCCAAAAGCCCTGCAAAATTGTACTCCCTCTCTCCTTGCCAAGGAGGTTCACCCAACGCACTTGCCTCTAAGCCCAGGTTAAGCTGCACACAAAGACAAGCTGACAGCAAGGGTCAGGCTAGATGACCTCTGGGAACATGCTTCGGGGGGGGGGGGGAAGGTGTGAATAAAGCCCTTTTTAATTTGTACACAATTTCTCTTGCCTAGGCTACCCTTCCCTGGTCTGGCTGCGAATTCGGGGTGGAAACAGCCTGGGAGAAGACTGGATTGAGCTCCTAAAAACACGAATTATGATCACTTATCGGACGGTCGCAAGAGGGGATCGCATGACCCCAGGGACACTGCGACCATCGTAAATACGAGTCAGCTTCCCTTTTGATCACGTGACTGCGGGGATGCTACAACGGTCGTAAGTGTGAAAAAACATAGCTAATATTCATTTAGAATAGAATATAGAATAGAAAATAGGAAATAGAATATATTTTTATTTTTTATTTATTTTATTTTATATTATATAAATAAAATATATAAAATACAGAGAATAGTAGAAATGAAACAAAATAGTCCTGAGTTACTTTATTTAGTGCTGTCCTCACTTTGACCAGACACTAAACGGTTGTAAGTCAAGGACTAACTATGCACATAAAAAGGAATAAAGGAATAATTTAGTCTTGAAATGTGGGGAGGCACTAGGATGGTTTATAATCGCCCAATCAAAAATGTATTGTTTCAGGTAATGCTGTAGTTACAACAGTTCGTTCAGTGACCGCTTCGAATTTACCATGAAACTGGAGGATAAAAAAGTGATTTAGAACCAGTCCTCACACTTACAACCGTTGCCAGGGTAACGAGGTCAGCATTCAGACTCTCGGCTTCAGATTTATGACGGGAGTCACGCGATTCCCCTTTAGTGACCGCCTGGTCAACCAAAGTTAGCAGGGAAGCCCAATTCGCTTAACAACGGCCATGATTCACTTGCAAAAACGGTTGTAAAATGGGCCAAAACTCATTTAACAACCGTCTTGCTTAACAACAGGAATTCCGGGCTCAATTGGGGGGTTGCACGTTGAGGACTGCCTGTGATTCATCTCAACGACTTGCTTCACCAAAAGACGCTAAATGAATACAGGCAGTCCGCGACTTGCAATGATTCATTTAGTGACCACTTGAAGTTACAACGCCCCCCCCAAAAAAGCGACTTAGGATCATTTTTCACGCTTTACGACCGTCGCAGCCTCCCTCACGATCACGCGATCAGAAATTCGGACGCTCGGCAACCGACTCGTATTTACGACAGTCGCAGTGCCCCAGGGGTCCCCTTTGGAGACCTTGTGACGAGCAAAAATCCCGATTCATTTAACAACCGTGTTGGCCACTTAACGGCTGCAGGCGGTTCACTTAACAACCAGAGCAAGAAAATTCATAAAACGAGGCCAAGCAAAACTCACTCAACAGAAGGTCTCGCATAAGAACAGACACTGTCGGGGTCGTAAGTCCAGGCCTACCTTCCAGAATAAAACGTGCAGAACGTGCTTTGTTTTTTAAAAAAGGAGGGGAAAAAAGGGAAATAAAAAAATATTCCACAGAAAATTTGGACTTGGTTTGAAAGCCACGGGCGGAAGGGTGGGGGGGACCAAATCCCAGCCCCCTCCCCTTAAAACTTTGCTCTGCTCATCCCAAAAGCCCATTTTGCTGCCTGAAAACAAAGGGGAGATTCTCTCCGCCCCCCCCAAACCCCCCCCTCTGCTAACAGGTCTGGTGAATCCTCCCCAAGCAGGAGCAGTCTATCTGCCTGCCCACAGCTGCTATCGAAGGCTGCCCGGCCACTAAATCTAAGCCTGAAAATCTAAACCGCTGCATCTAAAAGAGGGGTTGGGGCTGGGGGGAGCCCCAGGAGCTTCTCAAAATATGGGGGTCCCCGAGTGTCCAAAAGAATCCAGCTGCGATTTGATGGGAGTGGGTGCCTCTTTCTCTCTCTCTATCCATATTGGGCGCATTGGACATTAAAAGGGAGAAATGTTTTAAAAAGTGGGTTGGTTTGACATGGGGGGGGGGGGGGCCTCCCCTGAAAGGGTCTGGGGGACTCCTGGGGGGTCCCCGCCCCCCCAAACCTCGCACTGGGTCCCATCACTGCTGCATCCTGACACAGTCAGATTAAAGGAGCCTGGCTGCCTTTCCCCCAAAGCCCTTTCTCCAATGCTCCATGAAAACCCCCCAACCCGGATCCCCCTCCCTGGATGAAACCTCCAGCTGTTGCGATGGCTCCACTCCGGATCCCATGCGCCACGTCCGCACCCAGCACCCCTCCCCACCCGTCCGTGCGACCTGCCCCCCACCCCAAAAGCCAGGAAGCTCCCTTGCAAAATCTCCCCAAAGCGCTCCCCGCAGAGATGCACAGGGGTTGGAAAGGGGGCGGGGCCCGGGTCCCCCCTCCCCGTTTCGTAGGGGAGGGGGGGTCGCCTTGTCCACACCCCCTCCGTGGAGCAGAGGCGCCCCCTCAGCCCCGATCCAAAGCTTTACGTAAGAGAAGCTGCAGCGGAATTTCGCCTGCGAGGATTGGACCCCCCCTCCCCTTCATCATTGCAGCCCTGGGGAGGGCGGCCCCCCCGGCCGGGGGGGGGGGGGGGGGGCGCCCCCCCGCGGGGGGGGGGGGGGGGGGGAGAAAAGGGTGGCGCCCGCGGGCGCCCCGGCCGCGGGGACTCACCTGGGCGAAGGTGCGCTCCGGTTCCTGCGTCCCGCCGGCTCCAGCGCCGCTGCCTGCGCTCCTGGTCGCCTTGGCCGGGGCTGGGCGGGTCCGGGGCGGGCCAGCGCATGCTTTTGCGGCTCCCCTCCCCTCCCCCGGGAGAGAGGCAAGCCCCTCCCGCAGGAAGGAGACCCTCCGCCCGCTGGAGGGAAGCTGGGCTGCGGGTCTTGCAAGGGAGGGAGCGCTTGGAAGAGGCGCCCTCGCCCGCCCACCGCCCCCGGCCCTCCGGGATCTGGGGGAGGGGAGGGCGCGGGTGGCCCCTCCCCGCTTGAGGAAGGCGGGGGAGAGGAAAGGCTGGCGAGGTTGAAGGACCGCGGCTCCCATCGTCCGCAGCCGGGCTGGCGGGGTGGAACAAGGGGGCGGGGGGGGGGAGCCCGCCCTCCAAGGGGGGCTGTTGTAGGTCTGCAACCTAATCCTTCAAAGGAAAGAATGAATGGGGCTTCTCCTCCTCCTTCTTTCCTCCCTCCTTCTCTCTCTTTCTTTCCTCCCTCCCTTACTTCTTATTCCTCCCTCCCTCCCTCCCTTCCATTTCTGTCCTTTCCATTCCTTTCCTGCCCTCTTCCTCCTTCCTTATTTTTCCCTCCCTCCCTCCACCCCCTTTCCTTCCCTCTTCCTTTCCTTTCCTTCTCTTCCTCCTTTCCTTTCTTTCTCTCTTCCCTTCCTTCTTCCTCCCCTCCTTTTGCCCACTGCCTGGAGCCCCTGCTGCCCTTGTCCAGTTGCCAAGTGTCCGAATTCTGGCCACGGTGACCAAGGGGGATGCTGAAACCGTTGTGTGTGGGGAAAAATAATAATGGTCCCAAGTCACTTTTTTTTCAGGGCCGTCATAACTTCGGCCACTACAAATGAGGACTATCTTACAGGTGGGCCGAAGTGTTCCCAGGCGTTTTGTGGATAGACCCAGAGCTGGAGGGACATAAAGCATTCGCCCGGGATGGGATGGGTCTGCTGCTGGAGCAGGGGGTTGGACTAGAAGACCTCTGAGGTTCCCTTCCAGCCCTGGGATTCTACCCTGGTGTAAACTGGGGAAAGAGGATAAAAGTTGGGGGCCTCTCAGGGACTCGCCTGGGCTTCAAATACAGGCTCTGTGTTAGCTCAGCTGGGGGAAAGCAAATTGACCCCAGAGGCATTTGGGGTGAATCCTGTCTGAGGAGGCAGGGGGGGGTGGGGGACCCCTCCCCACTTTAAAGCTCTCAGCACAAGCAAGCAGATGTTTCACCATGAAACTTTGGTCTTGAAACCCGCGGAAGCCAGTGAGAGGTTGTCGGAAGGGTCTCCGCATGGGGACGTGTGCAGTCCTTGACTTACGACCATTTGGGGGGCTGCTAGCCCCCCCCCATCAAAGTGCTTTTGACATTCATTTGGACTTTCCTGACAGCTTGTCAATTTGTGAGTGGTTTTGATGTTCGTCGTAGATCCTGTACCGTAGATCGACCCGAATCGAGCCGGAAGGGACCTCAGAGGTCTTCTAGTCCAACCCCCTGCTCAAGAAGGAGACCCCATACCGTTCCAGACAAATGTCCAGTCTCTTCTTGGAAATGTCCAGTGTTGCAGCACCCACCACTAATGACCGTTTTGGACAAAATCCTGGTTCAGCTTTCGGTGAAGTTTTGGGTGGAGGGGCCGAGACGAACACCGCCCCCCCCCCCCACTCCCCCAGGCAGGAAACGGCCCACAGGTTTAAAGGCACCAAACCTTTATTTGCAACCCTCACTGAATAAATTAGGCAAACATATACATCTGCACAAGACACACGGACACCGAAGACGGGGAGGAAGAGAGCCGGGGGGTGGGGGGGCTTTTGAGAACGTGAAAGGGGGGGGGAGAAGAACCGGCGTTCACGGGCCGTGAAACCGAAGCCTGTTGTGTTTCTTGGGACGGTGAAGATGGGCCCCGCCCAATCTGGGGATGCCTTATCCGAAGACTGTTAATAAAAACAGCCCCATCTCTGTGGATGTGTGTGTCCCCCCTGCCCTGTCTAAAAC